AATTTCCAGATCTCCAAATTCCCAATTCTCCCAATTCCCAAGTCCCCAATTTCCAAATCTCCCAATTCCCAATTCTCCCAATTCCCGAGTCCCCAGTTTCCAAATCTCCCAATTCCCAAATATCCCAATTCCCAAGTCCCCCAATTTCCAAATCCCCCAATTCCCAAATCTCCCAATTCCCAAATCCCCCAAGTCCCAAATCTCCAAATCTCTGTTATGAACACCCTCTTCATCAAAGTCCCAATAGTACTAAAAAATTCACTTCGCTAAAAAATACAGGAAAGGACTCTGGTAGGAGGTCGTTCAGCCAAAACGGAGCAGGATATTCAATTACACGGGTTAGGTATCCTCCCCGAACATTGTGTCATCACGATAGAAGAATCTGGTCTCTACATGACGCCATTAAACGGTGCTAGGTGTTTCGTAAACGGCACCCAGGTGGTGGAGAAAACACCGTTGTTACACGGGGACCGAATTGTCTGGGGAAATCATCATTTCTTCCGGGTGAACTGCCCCAGAAGTGCAACAGGTAATGCTTTCCGAACCTGTTTATTTGATCGAATCGAAAAAGGTAGAAATTAGCTTCTTATCGGATTCTCTGTTCACAGCAATTAACAGCGAGCCTCAAACGCCTGCTCAGAATATCGATTACAACTTTGCTCGAGAAGAATTGATGCTTAACGAGCTGTCGAACGATCCTATTCAGAGAGCCATCGCCAGACTCGAAAAGCAGCATGAGGAAGATAAACAGGTATACTGGAACTTCTGTCTTTTCACGTGGCTTTGTATAGAGATTCTTATTCTCTGGGGAATTAGTCCTTTGTGTGTTAAATTGTTATTAGACTGCTTTTGTGCACTCTGCTGAAGATGTGACTGGTAGTCAAAGTTAATTTAACCTAATATTGAATGATTGTATAAATATTTTAAAGAAAATGTGTAAATATAAATTTTCTGACTACATTCAAGCGTCAAAGAGAAATCAATTAAATGTGCTGTGTAAAGTTATCAAAATAAATTATCATGTAATCATATAAATCTTGTGAGACATCTTACTAAAATTTAAAATTGTATTGATCTACATCTACCATGTGAAACATTCTTATTTCAAGTTACTTAATTTACTAAATTAAATTGAGTAAAATTTGTTTGGTATGCAGGTTGCACTGGAGAAACAAAGGCAGGAATATGAGAGACAGTTTCAACAGCTGCGTAATATTTTGTCCCCTTCAACACCTTACTCACCGTATGTACCGTATGACCCATTAAGAGGTAGTCAAAGCGGTAAATTGCACGCATGCACGCCAACCACGCAAATGCGTGTAGAGAAATGGGCACAAGAAAGGGACGAGATGTTCAAGAGGAGTTTAGGTCAATTAAAGGCGGACATCTTGAAAGCGAATGCTTTGGTGCAGGAAGCGAACTTCTTGGCGGAAGAAATGGGCAAACAAACCAAATTCAGCGTCACCCTACAAATTCCGCCGAATAATTTAAGTCCAAATAGAAAGGTAATTCGCGAGAAAACTGCGGCAGATTAAAACAATTATCTTGTTAGGTTTTCTGAACAGTTCATGGTGTGAAGGTTTTGAACTGTTCTTTTGTCCAGAAGAAATTTTTATTTTGTAAACGATTCTTATTGTGTTCTGTTTTTGTTCTATTATTTGATTCTGTTTTATTATTGTGTAAACTTATTGTTTATTGTTCTACCATAGTTTGTTATTGTTTGACATTTTATTATGTTATTTTTTAATTTTCAGTTTGTTCTGTTTATTTATTTTTGTTTCTTTTACTTGCACACTCTTCGACATGCAGAGTGTATTTTTTCAGCGGGGAGCTTTCGTCAGCGAGCCTGCGATTCTAGTGAAGAGGACGAACATGGGCAGCCAGGTGTGGACCATGGAAAAATTAGAAAACAAATTAGTCGACATGCGGGATATGTACGAGGACAGGAAGGATCCCAATAATTGTCAACGATTACCTGCCATTAAGGTGAACAACTTATCCACAAACCAGTTATTAATATTCTCAGAAATCAAATTGAAAACGTAAGAGTTCTAAATTAAATTTACATTTCAAACAGGACGAAATACCTGGAAAAACTCAAGATCCCTTCTACGAGTCCCAGGAGAACCACAACTTAATCGGAGTAGCGAATATTTTCTTAGAGGTTCTGTTTCACGACGTACGGTTAGACTATCACACGCCAATAATCAGCCAACAGGGAGAAGTCGCTGGACGACTGCAGGTCGAAATTAGTCGCATATCCGGCCATTTCGCTCAGGACCGTATCTGTGAAGCTGCGTCGGAATCGTCGGCCGACAGCACCTCTTCAGAACCTGAAGACTATTCGGGATCGAGTCACATCACCTGTCGAGTGACCATCAAACAAGCTACCGGTTTACCGTTGTCGCTTAGCCATTTTGTGTTTTGTCAGTACATATTTTATGGCCATCCGGAACCAATAGTGGTGCCAGCGGTTGATAATACCGAACAACTTAATTCGAATTGTCAAATGGGACAGAGAGACTCTTTGGTGTTCAAGTTTGATCACACGACGGATTTTAACGTGCCCACTTCGGAGGAGTTTGTGGAACATTGTTCTGGTAAGAAACCATTAGCTTTTCACTTTAAAATTTAGGCTAGGTAAGGTGTATTCAGTGCAGTCTCGCTATATGACCCTTTGATAATTAATTACATTTAAACCATTCTTAAATCGCAGAAGGGGCCTTAAGCATAGAAGTTTGGGGACACAGAAGTGCTGGTTTCTCCAGAAGCAAACCTGGCTGGGAAGTCGAGCAGCAGTTAGCCAAAGCCAGATCACTGGCTGACAGATGGTCAGAATTAACCAGAAAAATTGAACTGTGGGTGGAAATTCAAGAACTGAATGAACAAGGAGAATATTCACCAGTCGATGTGGTGGTGAAACAGGACACATGGACAGGTATGTATTAATATATTGGTTGAAGTGTTAACAATGTACACACGATTATTCTTTGTTTCAGGGGGTATTTATCAATTGCGTCAAGGCCAACAGCGGCGGATACAAGTTCGCGTGAAACCAGTACAAAATTCAGGAACATTGCCTATAATCTGTCAGTCGATATTAAATATAGCGGTTGGTAGTGTGTCCGTAAGAAATCGTCTGCAGATCCCGTTGGACAGTTATCAAGATGAGGACTTAAGTATATTGAGAGAAAAGTGGAGCGAGGCCTTGATGAGAAGGAGACAGTACTTGGATCAACAGATTCAGAAACTTATTAACAAACAAGGTAGGATACATTATAAGAAACATATTTAGAATGAGTTAACAAGGTGAGATTATTGAACTGATGGACCTCAGCCTTGTTAACAATCAGAAGAATACATTTGCTACTCTTAACAATGTATTAAAAATATATATCTCAATGAAACGTGTGTTTAGATAAAACAGAGCAAGATATAGAAAGAGAACAGAGTCTCGTAGACCAGTGGGTCAGTTTAACGGAAGAAAGAAACGCAGTGTTAGTTCCTGCAGCAGGCTCAGGGATTCCAGGTGCTCCTGCTGATTGGAATCCTCCTCCAGGCATGGAACCACACATCCCAGTTCTCTTTCTTGATCTCAACGGTATGTTGAAATATCTTGACCATTGTTGTAAAAGGAAATTTTTATGATTCTATTCTTGACTTTAATATGTTTAGCTGATGATCTCTCAACCCACCAGTCTGGAGAAGAGGTTTCTGTAACAGGGTTAAACTCGATCCTACCCAAAGAACACGGCAATAAATTTTACAATTTACCTATAATTCGTCACATAGAAAAAGACGTATGTGCCATTGCTGCGTGGGACTCTAGTATACACGACAACATACACCTGAATAAAGTTACGGATGGTAAGTTATTTTAAAGCTTGAAATAGGAAGTCTTCTCTACTACAAAAATATATTTTAGCAAACGAGCGGGTTTTCTTGATCCTGAAGACAACGGTACGCCTGTCGCATCCTGCGCCAATGGATCTGGTGCTACGCAAACGATTGGCCTTAAACATATACAAAAGACAAAGCATCACGGACAGAATCTTCAAGAAGATCGTCCGAACAGATTGTTTGACCCAGACCGGTGTAACTTATGAAGTCGTATCGAATATACCAAAGGCAAGCGAAGAACTGGAGGACCGCGAGAGCTTGGCTCAAATAGCAGCGAGCGGTGAAGACAACAGTTTGTGCGATGGTGAAACGTACATTGGTAAGTCAATCTTAATTTAAGATATTCAGTTAACATGTTCCTACATTGAAAACGTGATATTTTTTTAGAAAAATACACCCGTGGAGTTTCTGCGGTGGAAAGCATCTTGACTTTGGACAGACTACGACAGAGTGTTGCTGTGAAAGAGTTATTGCAAGCACAAGGTCAACCACTTATGCGCAAGACAGCAAGTGTGCCCAACTTCTCGCAGGTACTACTGCCTCTTCGCCGTCTTGGACGCACTGTATGCTTTTCGTTTAATTTGTTTTTTCTTTTTTAATTTTATATTACACTGTACAATATTCTTTGCACCAGTTCATTTTTTTTTATTTCTTATTGTTTCAAAACAATTTGTAGATAGTTTTGATTTTATTTGCTCTGAAATTTCATTTTATTTTCTAGATCAGTGATGGGTGATAAGGATGTATTTATAGATGTGTTTCTTTTGATTATTAAAAGTAATCAGCCATCACTGATCTACACTTTTGTTCTATAAATTTTCACAGTTTGGTTGTTTGACCAATTAATTTGAAACGAACTACAGCTAAATCGAGTAAATTTGTAGAAAGAAGATTAGATAATATTATATGCTGTTGCTTGCAGATCATGAGATCAGACACTTCGATGGATTCCTTGAACGTAACACGTTCCGAGAGCGTAACTGATCTCAATACCGAATTAAACGGTCTATTACACTCTCGACGTGCATCCACGGGTCACACAAGAAACGAAGAAAACTTTGTGACCACTCCATCGAAGCCATTCGGAATCGGTAAGCATGCATTCACCTCCCACGTATTGAATTCGATAGTGAAACATCTTCACATAAATTCAGTAAATATACGTTCTATGATTTCTTGAACAAATAAGCTGTTAACACTTTATCTACCATTTGTGTATCAATTGCATCATCACTTTACAGTATTATATCCGCACTCCAATTTTCTTTTTAACTTGAACTAAATTATAAATTAATGGCCAATGTATTAATTCTCAGTCATCAATTAGAAAGTGTTGATAAACTTCTGGTTGATAAGGTGTTAATTGTAAGTTATTTAATTGTTACAAGATTGTGGAATACGATTGATGAGAAATCATAGAAGACAACGAAGAAATGAATTGGTACTATCAATTAAACGATACTAAACGATCAAGGAAAGATTCTTTCTCTTATTATTCACACAGAATTCACTCATACATTCATCTTCTCATTCATGTATTAGTTCACCGTTCGTTTTTCTGTAGTAATCCATTTTTTATTCCGAACAATTTCTCTGTTACATCATTATCAATTTTCTTCAAATGGTAACATCGAATTAACACGTTTACTATTGTTCATAATAACTTTAACAATAACCAACGGTACTACAATAAAGTACGCCAACAAAAAGGTAATTTCAAGATTTCTGCAAGGAAGTTCTGTTGCTCTGCAAGCGTTTTTTGCCATGACGTTGAAAACATTAGAGAGTTTAAATAGCAAACGACAATTATTTTTTTGTTTTAACACGCTGTATTTTTATATAAGAAGCTTGCTATCAGGCGCAGAATTATCGCTAAATGGATTGCTACTTAACCCCTTCTCCATGGATTTATTGAAATTCGTTTCAATGTTTTTGTTTGAGATTATACAATTTTTTACTATATGCGAGATTCATCATATTAATGAATGCAACATCTTAGTTTGCTTTGATCACAATTTGATTATTATCGAACGGATAATAACGCTTTGATGAACTTAATGGCACTGATGTTTTTTATTAAGAACCTTAGCCTTAGAGAGATATCGGTTTACGTTTTCGATCACTTCTCGTTGCCTTGATTTTCCGCTTTCTTAAATTACATTCAACCAAAAATTCTATGATTCATTTTTGAAATGTGGCTTATGCAGTGTTTTTTGATATTTATATATATATACATATATTATCACCTTGCCATGATATTAGTCACTTTTACAATTTTTCCCTAGTTTTGATTGTCTAAAGTTCCACTGTTATGTCTTCCTTTTGTACTGGATATGTTGGTTCTGAATAATGGAGAACAATCATTTCATCTGTTCCCTTTTATTTTTGGTCTTTTTGTTGTTAAAATTCATGTCATCCATCGTTAGCGTTTCTTTGCATTGTGTCTATGGCTTCAACCAAAATCTACCATTAAAATTAAATAAACTTCTTTATATGATTACTTAGGTGTGACTTCTTTATACAGTTATCTATTTACAAGAACTGAAAATTATTTCTATGAACTGCTTAAGAATTAATTTAAACTTGTTTTGCTAGATCCTATTCTTATTAAATATTTTTTAACTTCTATTTATACAAAGTTGGATTCTGTATCATTAACTTAAATATTAATAGAATTAAAATTATTATTCAGGACAAATAGACACAATGCAAGAATACAGCAATCACTTAGACCAAACACAGTCAGAAACATATTCTGATCACAATCCTTACAAAATGTTTGGTAATACCGATCTCCTTATTAGCAGCCACCATTACACTGGAATTTCGTATTATTCTATTTACAGCTTCTATCATATTGTTATGTCACCACGCTATGTTCAACTTTTTCGCACAATCTGTTGGATCCATTTTAATTGTTACAGCTTCCTTAGAAACTTACCATACATAACCGCGATTATCATCGTTGCGGCTAAAAGAGAGTTGAGCATGGTAAAAGAAGAAAAATAAAAAAAACAAACTTAATTTCTGACAAGGAAACCATCCCAAGGGTCCTCAGATTTTAATGAGCTTTTGCATGTTGCTATACTTCCTCAATTATTATTTATATCAGAGATAAGAATATCAGAATAATTCCTTAAATAAAACTACATAATATTGTTACTGCCATTCTATTATAAATTTTCAGATAAATTTAAAGGTTTACATAATCAGAATGTTTAGACAATAACTGATTAGATATCTTTCATTGATAGAAAATGTTAAGCAAAGTTAGGGTTCTCTTACTCACTATTAAGATTCTGAATTTCTCTGTCAACTTGATGTGAACACTATTCTTCTTTAAATTAGGTTATGGTCAGGTTAGGTTGGGTTACATTAAAATTATGATAGGTTAAGAACCCTTTTAGATAGATATTTTGAAGTGTTTATAATACCTTCAGACACCAATTTACAGATATAATACCTCTAGATACTAATTATGGATATCTATGGCATATTAAGGTGCTTGTTTTCAAGTATCTGTTCTCAGGTTTCTATTCTGAGACATTTTATGTCTATTCCATAAATATACAACTTATTTACAAATATCTCTCTTCTTGAACCTATACTTAGCTGTCTGTTTTCACTTGTCTGACAAAGTATCTATTTCCAGGATCTTTTTTCTATTTTTGATTGCTTATTTTTATGTGGCTATTTTCTAGTCCCTCTTTTATATTTATAAAAGTAGCTAATCAATTACTGTCTAAACATACTAAAGCAATATATAAAACTGATTAAGATCTGAAGAATCGCTTGGAGTGGTTTTCTTACAAGAATTTGCCTAGCATTTTTTTAGCAATGACACTTAAGCTCCACCACTTATAATTACAGTATTTAAGACTGTCTCTTTTGTAACGAACTGTAAAAATAGCGAATTTTATAGAAAATTAACTAAGGTCGTATCAACAAGATTAATGTATGCAACTTGTCTCTTCTGTTCCTCTGTTTTAACACTACGTCTCTACTACTTCTACAACTATTTCGGCCCACGCAAGGCTCCATTCTGAACTCAGGTAAAATGGAGTCTTGATTGATATTTAATGATCGATGCCATTACAGGCAGTGACGATTTTTTTTAGTATACATATGTCTCGTGAGTGGTTGAGTCTGTCTGTCTGTTTGTCTGTTTTTAGTTTATCAAATTGTATGCTTCTAGCCTGGTCTACGATGTCTGTTTTACAACTTTGGTAATGTTCAGAACTGAACCACAGTTTGGGCAACTCAATTTAATCTTACTGATGTACATTTTAGTTAAATGGTCACATCATTAAAGTAGCGAAGAACATTGTTTAGTAAGTTTACATCTGTTAACGTGTTAGCTGTTAACATTGATCACCTTATTTGATCGTCAATGAAATTGTTAATAGTATTTTATATGATCTTATAAATAGATTATTCTACTTTTTTAAATGATATATTCTGAGGTATATATAAAATTAATATGAAGGTTATAATATAGGTTATAAATATGAAAATTAATGCAATTCACAATGTATTTGATCCAGTTGAATTGCTTGAGTTCTGAACATTGTCGACGTTTTTCTATCTGAATTATGGTGTTTATGCTGTTCATTTGCTATCGTGAGCAATGCTATCTTTCCATCACCGTATTACTTGCATGCGAATGCGTTTTCTACGTAATTTACCAAGCATCAGCTAGTCACTGAATCGTTTCTTCGCTCACAAATTTTGTTTTATCTTCTGCGATGATCTGTGCGTTGCTGATCGATCGAATCATGAAAAAAATGATTGAACTAAAAACCTTCAGAGAAAATATCACCACGCCGTAGAAATCATTTTTTCTTTCACCGGCACTGTATTCACGATTTAACGATCCTAAGAGATCAGAAGCATGAATATATCATGAAGAATTCACAGTTTTCTTCTATTAGAATAGAAATGATTTCTATAGTTTTCTTTCTATGTCGATAATTCGTTGAACGTTCACGAATGCGTTTAATCGCGTTCGACGGATTATCGGGTTTTCTTCTGTATGTTAAGAATTCTGAGTTTTAAGTGGACCAACGTAAATAATGAGAAAAGAGAAAGAAAGGAAGAAAAACGTCGCTTGTAAACTGTTCTAATCTGTCTCTATCTGTGAATGTGCTATCGAGCCAATTTCTTTTTAGAAACGGACGTAGGTTAACTGTATCATATATGTGTACATACATATAATATATATTATACATAAACAATTATTTATTTATACGATTAATGATTTAGGTGGATATTGACTTTTGAAAAACAATTTGGATAACATTTTTTGAACTATCACAATTTTCTATACTTTTTGAAAATTGAAATTTAAAAATTCACAAACTTTTTAATTTTTTAATTTTCACATTTTTGTGCTAACAAATTTAAAAAATTTTTAATTCGTAACTATGAAAATTTTTTAATTTTACAATACATTTTCTAATTTTTTGATAACTTGAATTATGAATTGGCAATAAATTGAGAAAACTAAATTGTTTTTCGTGGGAGTAATAAAAAAAAGCTGATGCTTTTGTATGAACAGGAAAATGGGAAGCGTAAATGAAGTTTAACAATATTTATAAATATAAAATTATGACGAATCATGGTGGAAGATTCCCATTTTCTTCGTTTGAAAGAGGAATTAGTTTAAAGTCAAAAAAAATAAAATATTAGGAAACAATTTACAGTAATTAGTAATGCATGAAATTATCGTTTCAAGAATTAGTAAAGCATGCTTTGTGAAGGTATAGAATCTATCTATTGTTAATATAACTACTTTTAACAGTTGTACTATTGGAAAACACTAAAACAATCACTATTGACTTTAAACTAACCTCTTCAATTCATTTTAGCTCATTGTCCTCGTTTGAGAACATTAAGTATGAAATTTTTTTTACTAAAAAATAAATTACATCAACTACAGTTATTGTAAATATATTTCAAATTTAGTGTCCTTGAATGAGTGGGCTGAAATGAATTAATGTATACATAACAAATTCACAATGCACAATTTCTCAATTTTTATTAACAATAATTTTCAGACTTAATATTTAATTTAAATTTCTCCCCACAATTTTTTTTATATCTATTATTTTTATATTAAAAAGAAAAATGGAACCACAGAAAATTCTTTTACTCTAATAATTTTATTTATACATGTTCTTATTATATACAATTAATAAATTATTTACAATTGGGTAAGTAGAATATCTCGCTCAAAGTGATTGCAATAAAAAAATGATAGCTTCGGTGCATTTTGGATTTGTGTTCAAAATGGCGAGTTGAATCGATCCTCGGAATAAAAAGTAAAATTAAACGAATTTCAAGTATGTTTACCACGTATATTACCTGTACAGTAATTGTGTCGACAATGAATGTTTTATCGATCATCGAGAAACGACGTGCAAGTGTACATTTCGTGTGGTTTGCCTCACATTATCCAGTGTCTTCTAGCCTGCAGGCATGATTGATCACTGTTCAAGCGTGTAAAAAAAAAGAGGAAAACGAAAAAGGTTCTCATTTAAGGCTCGCCATTAAGAGGAGAAAACGTAGCGTGTTTTTTAGTGAACGACGAGAAAGAAAAAGAGAAAGAGAGTGCCGTGTAATCAGTACGTCTATCTCCTTTCAGCGAGACCAACTTTCCTGAATCTCAACCTGAATCTCAACTCATTGACACGTCTGCAACAATCCACCTCTGCCAAGTGTAGGTGACACTCGCTGTTGACCACTCTTTCAAACTTGCTACTTTTCTATCAAAAACTGATAAAAAATTCATATCAATTTTTTTTGCAATCTTTGCAATTTTTTGCAGCCTTCACTTTCGTACGAAATTCTCTTAAAGATTCGTTCGAAAATTTTTATCTTTCCAGCAAACTTGAGAGAAGATTTTGTACCGCCACAATATTTACATTTTCAGCAAACTGTGGTTTTATAAATATTTTTGAATTTTATCAAAATTTTATTAAAGTTGTAAAATTTATTTCTAGCAAGTCTGAAAGAGTTCATTCGATCATTCTAGTAGTGATAGTAGTCTGTTTGGTTTCCTTACTCCTTATTTCGATAATTAATGTAGTGTGATAGATATATCGTTAAAAGTCACGGTTTGTTTTCCGTTCACTGTCTTCTATTATTTTCCTTTTTTTCCGACCGGAGTTTTCGTAGTTAATGTCATTCTTTGCAGCCTAACTGTGCCCAATGGTGCAGTGCATAGTTCCGTATGTGTTCGATGTTTTATCGCTTAGAATAATCGGTACCTCCTCACCTCTGTTTTATGTTTATTTCAGGCTGCCTTATATTCCACGTATGTGCTTAATCTTCTGAGCCTCGTTGTTAGTTACTTGACTGCCGACCGAGAATATTTGGATTCACACATTCATTACACATGGAAACACTGACAGAAATATTCTTCTAATTCGAACTGTCTTCTAGGAAGTATAAGCAAAGAAATCGTTCAGATACTCATTGAAATGCGGAGTTTCAAAATTCACGATACAAAATATGTCAAATATTAGATTGACTATTAAATTTGCAAATTGCTTCAATTCAAAATTGTACAATATTTAACATTTTTATAAAATGGTCGCGAATTTAGTCGTCAGTCTAATTGTCTCAACATAAATTATGCTTCTTGAGAAAAACAGCAAAAAATACAAGTTTTAATATCTACAGTAAATTTTCAATCAGTGTACAATTAGAAAAAATAGTTCAATCCGTAGCTTAAAAATTATGATATAATTTTTAAAGAGTTACAATATAATTTTTAAAGTTACAATATAATTTTTAAAGTTGCAATGTAATTTTTAATTTTTTAAAAAGAAAAATGTGTGTATTACAGCTTGAATTTATTTTGAGAGAATCCTAATTGTATCCTGATACTGTGCTCTGTATGATCAGTTGGTAAACCACCCTGTGATGGCGGATATCAGAAAAATAACCGAATACGTGGAATATACTTTTATCCTTTCGTTTTTTTAGGAACGGCATGGACACTCCTTTTGTTCGATATTTTTCACTGATATGTATATCAGAACCGACCTGGCACCTTTAGTGTGATCGACTCATAAGCCCAAGTGTTTTACAGAATGTGTGTTAAGAACCCAACGAAGAGAAACAATTATATCAATCAACTGTGGAATCGATTCTCGTGGCCAGATCGGCCCTGATATTCAATCGATCACGATTTAAGCCATCAACGGTTGTAACCTTTCTAGCTAAATTTTTCGACGTTTATTTTAGCATCTCCGAATATGGTCGGCAGTAAATTGGCTCTACGAATGACCACTCTTCACGAGGAAACGTCTAACGTTGGAAATCAACTGCCGACGCCTATCAACGACGAAGATGAAGAGAAGAGCGACGCTGATTACTCTGAATACGACTCGTACCAGGTAGTACACGTTCTTTGGTCTTTTTAAATTGTCATGTTGGAAGAATTCAATTCCTTTGATCTCCTGTCTTTTTTAATACGTATTTGACTGAGGACTTTCTTTGATACACGAATATTTTTTTATATTTGAATACTGATCTTTGATATTGAGCAATATGGTGATTTAAAAACTCATAAGTATATTTACTCATAAGTGTAACAAATAATTCTTAACTTTGTTAGAAATTTACAGTGTGGATATTTGAGGAAAAAAAATATTTACTTGGTTTATATGAAAAATTTTTTATAAGTATGTGGTGTTACATTTAGAAGTGTTTTATCTTCAAAGAGTTTGCAATAGTCATCCATTAAAAAATTTCTATTTAACATTATAAAATAGCTGGATTTATTAAATAACTAAATTTAGACATTCTGAACAACCTACATTATATTAAAAGATAAAATAATACAACACTGTATGTATATCTTAAAATACGTATGGGAAGATAGGAAGAATCATTGACCTATACTACTGAAACTCAAGTACACAAGTAGTGTAGGTCCCTGAAATGGGGGGCTACCTGACTTGATTCTGAAAAAGATTTCTTAAAAAATATCTTAACTTATATTTTACATCATTAGAAATTTTTAAGTTAATAAACTACCTATCATAAGTCAATCTCACAAAAAATATTGTATAAGTTTGAAGCACTCGGAAACTCAAAACAGATTTACACAAAATTTTTTAAAGAAGAAACACGTGCAAACTTTTGCTTAATATTCTTGTCTCTAAACTAAATCCAATTAACAATCATTTTATTATATATACAATTCTTATAATTTTTGAAAAATTTAATATTTAAAATTTTTGAAAAACTTAATATTTACCAATCTGAAAAGTCAATCTAAAATTAAAAATTGACTTGAATCAAAAGCTTGCATACGACAGTTTCTTCTCGTTTCACGAGGACACAAGCCTAAGTCATTTCCACGATTATCATAATCACAATGAAGTCGCACACGATTACGTTCAGGCACCGGCGAAACCAGTAAAACCGCTAACTTCTTCACGCACACTGGATTCTCTTGTCGAACTTCAATCGACGAAGATCAACACGCCAAGCATGAGCAGCAGTGGTTACGGTTCGCAAGCTGTGTCGACGACGAACCTGACGTCCGAGGACTCGATTTCCGTCAAGTCGATCAGCGTGGACGACACGCCGGATCTGGAATATAGGAATCTGCTGGAGGGCAAGAAACCCGAACGTATGGACAGCTCTTTGGTCGAAGAGACGCCGGAGGAGTACATGGGAGAAGTGACAAACGCTTTGGACAACTTGAACGTGATGGGTGGCAGTTGTAACGAGGGTTAGTAAAGCGATAAATTATCGTGTTAGTTGTGGAGAATTTTTATTAATAGGATTTTTAATTTGTAGAACGAACCAGGAAGAACCTGGAGGAGACGGGTGCCTACATGGACGCGGACATGGACAGTCCAGTATCTTCGACGAAGAGCGACAGCGACGCTAATAGCAGTTCAACGAGTGCGACTGTTCAGAAGAAGGATGTTCGAAGTCAGGCTTCGAGTAATCGGAGGAAAAGCGATATGGAAATTAGTCAGACCTCGAACTCTGGCGAGGATAGTCCTCTGGAGGGTAGCTCGGTTGTGCACACCAAATTACCGCCGGGCAAGGTAATTTATTCTGTTCATGATTGTAGGGATTATTCATATAAACAGTGGGTAGTTTATATTCATTATACAGTAGATACTTGCACAATAGATATATGAACATATAGCTTTCAAGGTAAAATATTCAGATGTAGTCTTCAGTCTCTGGCAAATTATCAAGTCAAGTATAGAGGAATAAATGTGGAGTCTGTATGAAATTATGAAACATATATTTGGTTACAAAAATTCTGTAATCATACAGGCTTCCATCAGTTGTATTTTTCAATCTTTGATGGCAGTGAATAATTGCAGTCCTTAAGTTAAACATCTAGACCACCCTGTATATCCTTTATAATATCGGTGAATAGTATGTTAATTTTTATTGTAATTTGCAGGTCGTGCGACGAAGGAAAGCATCCACCAACACAGGAAGGCCTACGAGTTCTCAGCACAGGGCTTCATTCCCCATGGTCCGTCCACAAGTATCCGAAAGTAAAGCTGCAGCACGATTAGAACAGTCGATGCACGCTCTACCTAACATGCCCTACGAAAACGGTGATAACAGCTCCTCAGAACGAATCGATGGTACATTCTTATATCTTATATCTCATTCACCCTTGAACTCAGTGTAACGATTCTAATTTTTGTCAACAGACGATGTAAGCGAAAAGAGTTCAACTTTTGGTTCGAGACACGACTTGAGCAGAGTCGAGACACCACTCCCAGACTGGGTCATAGTTGGTGAATCGGTTTTAGTTCGTCCTTACAGCTATTCGGGTGTAATAGCTTATGTTGGTCCAACTGAATTCGCGTCTGGGACGTGGATAGGAGTCGAACTTGACGCTCCTACTGGTATTGTCTCTTTTCTTATTTATTGTATTAAGATTAACAAGGATGATGGAGACAGTTTATGAACTGAGGTTCTCGAATCTTCCAGGTAAAAACGATGGTGCTGTGAATGGCCATAGGTACTTCACGTGTCGACCAAAATGCGGAATCTTCGTCAAAGTGGACAAATTAATTCAAGACAAACGAGGCAGAGCACTTAGAAACTACACTTTCACTCTTCCTCAATCTGCACCGATGCGCAGAAGCGTCAGCAGAGGTACATACTCTATCTCATATTTTTAGTGATTTAATTTAAAGTTTAATTGCCTGAAAAAATCTATAGCTACCATATACATCAATTTATAAAAAGTCAGTCAGAATGCTGATACCACTCAGATGCTTTAATAATAAGTCAGTAATTTGTAAAAGTCTCAGTAAGCCTTTTAGACACAGATTTACAGTAAATACTTAAATAACTATAATCTTATAATCTATTTCTTAAGTCAGATTAACCCAGCCTTTTCAATATCTAAATACTAGTATAAACAGTAACAAAAATGTACACTTACAAGCTATAAAATCTCCTGTATGAACACCTCAGAATATAAAATGTACATTCGAAACCTAACCTTTAAAATAAGTGACTGTTAAATATCCATGACAATTGGATGACACATAGGTTTAACAAAGTGTAGAAATGAATACTTATAGTGAAAATGTACGTAAATGATTAAAATGTTCCAGGTGAGGGTTTACATTCCTTGCACCGAAGTCGAAGCCGAGGGGAAGGTCTCTCAACAACAGGCACACGATCCTCTCCACGTGGCAAGTAAACGGATCACACACCGCTTCACCGTAACCTTCGTTCTACTACTAAGCCACTAAAAAAAAAAACAAAAATATCCTAATTGCTACATGCCTATTGATATGTGTAGCAGCAGTGTTTCAGTCCCTTAGACGTTTAGGGCAGCTATGGATTATTAATACTTATAAATAATTACTTGAAACGTTAGGTCATTAATGTGTATCACACACGAGGCATGGGAATTCCGATTCCATCGATAACGAACCGGAACATGCGTCGGATGGAAAGCATTTAGTATCTATTTCGCATTTTTTCAGTAGCGTAGGAACGAAGTCGATACACGGTTGGCCCTTAATTATATATCGACAGTCACCGACGACGACGATGTTTAATTAAAATCAATGGAAAAAGAATAACAAAACGAGTTTGTAAGCATTCCACAATTTTCGTTTCACCGACTGGTATTGACGAGCCATTTTTATTTTACACGAAGCTGAAAGTGATTCGTTTTATTTGCGATTTAATTGTACATTCTTAAATAAACTTATCGAAGACAGAGGGAGAAGGATGAAAGATGACGGGTTAAACGATGTAAAAGAAAAACGAAATATTCCATAGGACCGTTAAGCAATCGCATTTATTGTAATTGGCATATTCGAACCGTACACAGGAACACACGCATACGATAATAGATACACTCTCCAAAATTACCAGGCGGTAATTTAAATTGTGGAGAAGTGAAGACAGCCAAAATTCATGAAATAGAAAAACACGAATTAACCGCGTTGTGTAGATTAATTTAAAGATTTTATATGTATACAATTGTTTCATATATATATATACATATTGTATTTTTTTAGCGCGACCCCCGTTAAGTTCCTTTTTATTGTAACATAAATACCCTTTGCCCGGCAAATATTACGTTTATTAGACGCGAACATGACACGCGTTAATTTATAAATGCGTCGAATTTATGTGTTGCACGATAAAACAATGTTTGTATTGGTCCATGATTATTTTCAGTCATTTCCGTACTATTGAGTTTGTTACTCGCTTTTGGAGTAACTTTTCATTGATAAAATTGATATAATATATGTTACAATATATGTTATATAATTTACACAGAATTTAATTTGGAAATAATATAACTTGGGTCAAATATAATTTATAGAAACATAATTAACATAATTTATAAAAAATGTAATAATGAAAGAATCTAATTTATCAAAAACCTAAGAACCTACTTTGAAAGAAATTTAATTGCTAAGCAATTTGGAAAAAATCTAATTTGCAAAGAACTTAAATGAGAACAAATTTGCAAAGAATGTGCAAAGAATTTTATTTAAAAAAATCCAGCTTGCAAAGTATCTAATTTGCATCAGGATAATAAAAAAATGACGTGATTGTCATTACCACGAAATTCTTAGGCCAATATACGCTTTTTTTAAAATGCAACATGGTTACATAGGATCGCAATATTAGTTTCGTAAGTTTAGCTAAGTAGACAATGAAAAACAAAACGAATAAGAAACCGAGCTTGCTTTATAATTACACTTTCATCGTTTATGTATATTGATTTCGATATTTCTTTCCGTGTACAAGCTTCGTTGCACCCTTCTTATTGTTTATTCGCGAGGAACTCTGATAATATACATATATATATTTGATACAGATTTCAATGCGATTTAAACACCGTGAAACATCCCGTTCGATGGAGTAAAATTACGTACGATGTAACCGATTTTTTAGATGATAAATTCTTCTCGAGATATATAATCACGATTGTACGCGTCGCCTGAGGGAAAAAATCAAATGACTATAACGTATTTTTTTTAATTCACGGAATAGATTGTGTGGAGTACGAAGGACGAAGAAAGACAAGAAGCGAAAAATGAAATGAAACGTTGAGTAAAGTAATTAACGATTAAGGTGTAATCGCAAATCAATTCACTCTAAAAATTGTGAACGACAACACGAAACAACCGCATCAACAAGAAAAAGAAATAACTCTTCTGTCCAATTAGAACAATACTAACGCTATCAATAATGAACATATTACTGTACGTAATATTTATTGAATATAAATAATAAAACACCGTGGCGCGACGTTTCTTTGTTAACACAAAAACGAGACTCGCTTTACTGGCGTGAATTAAACAAGAAATGTCTCTGTACCGTAAAAGAAACGTCGCGACCAAACGGTAAATATCTCTGTCCATTTTTTGGTAATTCAAGATTATTAAAGATGAAAGAAAATTAAGACTCATAAATGTCACAGTGATGCTACATGCCTGCCTGGCATAGGATTAATAAAATCATTCGTTTCAGACAACAGGTTTTCAGTTTTTCTCTTCTTTTTTACAAAATCTGCTTTCTGTTGCTTTCAGTTTTAACCCTTTGAGTGGCAGACATTTTTTGAGGAAATTACATTTTCAATTTCAATCGAAATTTTTACATACGTTCAACTTGTCACGAATACTTGATAACTTTTATAAATAAGGGTACAAAGATTACTTGACACTCAAAAGGTTAATTGTTAACAAGAAGGTTTCGGTCGGCCTTCCTTTATGTTACACATTATGTTTTATACAGTTATTTTTTGTTTTGTATATACAGAGTATTCGGAATAAATGGTCAAACTTTGTAGTCACTGCGTAAAAATAAAAATGTTTATATTATGTATTTTTTCTTTTCATTTATAAAATATTGTAAAATCATTGATCATTGAAAGAGTTGTTAAAATTGTAACTTGAATTAAGAGGTACTTCACTGAAATTACTTGAAACTATTATTAATTATAATTATATCAAATTAATGTACATTAATGTTACATTAAATATCAAAGAACAGAAAATTTCAAAAAATATTTAGATCTGTATGTAGATTTTACGAGTTTAAGTTTGTATTACTGTGTTTCAAATTGAACATTATGTTGGTGTTTGTATAAAAATTGTGCAATTGCACATCACATTATGCAATGTTGTATAGATTGTGTGTGCAATTGTTACATAAAGTTTGATCGTTTATCTCGGGAACACTCTATATAAATGTGTATATATTTGTTCTATTTTCTTTTTTTAAATTGCAGCGGAGCATCTAGCATTGACGGAGCTTACACAGCCTATTCCATCCCACGATAAGACAATGTCCATTTTTATCGTTATAATTATCTATATGATAATCGTTCGCAACTGTACTTTGTACCCGTAACGGATTCTAGAAATAATATTTTCGACCAATCGGTTTTACGATATCTCTCTGGAAGACTTCCGAGTTTAACATTATCCAAGAGACACAGCTGCAACCAAGCCCAGACACGGTCTAAGTTCCAAAATAATAAAAATATAAAAAAATAATAAAAAAAAAAGGTTTGCACGGGTCCAGTTTCTCAGAATATTAAAAATCTAATCTACGATTTTCTTCTAAAACAAGGCTGTGAAACTTAATCCTTTGCTGTTACCCTATACTCGTTTCTGATCATATGCACCAGTTTCTCACTTCTTTTTTGACTTGAAACAGATTTTTAATATAAAACAGAAATTAGTTTAAGAGTTTATTGTTTATCATTTTTGTTGCACTCTGTTAAAATATCTGTAAAGCAGTTCTTTGTTAAATTTTTCATTGTCCTGCTTGATGTCATTTTTTAATGCAATTTTCTGCATTTATAAACTTGAGAGAATATAAGCCACCAGTATGTGCATTTGAAATGAAGGATAGCTATGAAATTAAAAATTTCACATCCCTAATTTTGTTGAATCACATTAACTATTGGCAGATTTTTGTTAAAAATTCATCAAGTGTAATTATACCAAATGATTATGAAAATCAGTTAAAACTAAATTATAAACCCATAGACTACGAATTAAATTCAGTACAAATATTTCATTTCAATAACAATAACAGTCTTGTAAAATAAAAAAATGCTATCGACAGTAAGCCTGCATATTCCCAGTGTCGTCAATTACGGCGAAGTGCGAGCACGTTAATATTGAATTCGGAACTCTTCTAAAACGCTTGACGGTGAGAGACTGTTCGAACGATCATCGCTAAAATACATTTAAAACGAAAAAAAAAAGAACTCACATATGTATATGTATAATGTAAGCGAGTCGAGATTGGTGTTATATTTTAATGTAATGTAAAAAAAAGAACTAAAAGAAAAGAGCAAATAACAAAAGACAAAACGTATGTGCGCAAAGAAAAAAAAAACCATCAACCACACTGGTACTTATAGACGTTTATCGACACAGTATGTAAGAAAATACTATAGTACGATGTGCACCAGCTTTAAGGCCCGACACACAAGCCCTTTTCCACAACCTCCTTTTCCTCATCATCGACCCATCGATTATTGTTGGCGCACGATATCGAGGGCTGACATTGTACATTGCAATTGAATCAACCTGTACGTCGAACTTGGTGCGACCAAATAGTGTTGTCGACCGTGCAATTTTCGTTCATTGTATGTACCTTTTCGAATTCTCGATTTAAGGAATGATGTATCGATTTTTACTTTGGTTGTACTCGTGCGGAATTTTTATTGGAGGAGTTTTGGGTACTTTGGAATGCTTAAATACTAATATTTGATGTTCACGAGTGCTTAGATGTGGATGTTAAGTACTTTGGGGTGCAGAGATAGTGATATCTTGTATTTGGAAGGGTTGAGTACCGGTATTTTGTATTCTGGATTGATCAGATACTGGTATTTTATGGTTTGGGGTGTTCAGATACCGGTATTCTGTAGGTATGGACTCTTGAATACCAGTACTCTAGGTCGTAGAGTACTCAGATACCATTACTCTGGGTCGTAGAGTACTCAGGTACCAATACTCTGCATCCTAGAGTACTCAGATACCGGTATTCAGTACCTTAGAGTACTCAGATACAGGTATTCAGTGTCCCAAACTACTCAGATACCAGTAATCGGTATTCTAGAGTACTCAAATACCAGTACTCTGTATCTTAGAGCACTCAGATACCAGTACTCAATACTCTAGAGTACTCAAACACCGGTATTTTTTATTCTAAAGTATTGAAACACCAAACAAAGTATTTTCAGATGCTTAAATACCATTATTTCGTACTCTAACACGCTCAAATACTGCAATTAAGTACTCTGAGGCATCAAATATTGGTATTTTGTACTCTAAAACGATCAAATACCAATATTAAGTAATTTCGAGTGCTTAAATACCAATATCTCGTACTCTTGAACATTCGAATACTTTCACTTCGTATTCTGAGTACTCGAATACAGGTATTTTGTACTCTCAAGCACCAAGTACTGGTATTCCGTACTCCAAAACACTTAAATATCAATATCAAATGTATTGCGGTGCTTGAGTACCAATATTTCGTATATTAAAACTCGGATACCGGTATTCTGTGACGCTTGAATATTGATATTCTGCATTCTGACATTCGAATACCAGTATTCCGTATTCTATTACGATCGAATATCGGTATTTCGTATTCTATGACATTTGAACACCGGTATTCGGTATTCTATGACGATCGAATACCGGTATTTCGTATTCTATGTCATTTGAACACCGGTATTCGGTACTCCATTGCTCTTGAGTACCGATATGCGCCATTTTCAAGCTAAATATCAATTATTTCGCATTCTGAAATGAATGTTTATATTTTGTACATCAAATACCAGTATTCTCAATGCTTGAATACCATAATTTCTTACATTGAAATCTACGATACGTCCGATATCCTTAGATCGGGAATTCACGCTACTGTAACGTAGAAAGACATCTCTTCGAATGCGCAGAGCAAGAGAAATTAGTAAGAAAATGATCGATACTAGATTGTAAGGTTTTTGGGAATTCTCCGTAGATCCGTAGATTCGCTGTGTCACTCCCTCCGGTACTAGGTGACCGGAAATAGGAAAGCCTATTTTTGCATTGCGTGATTAAAGGCAGAGAACGTGTTTAGAGTCAGTTCCCATTCAACTGATATCTATTCGAATGATGTCTTATGTAAGACTATGGGACGGTACAAGGACGATTCGCGGGATGTTCTGCTATTTTACCGTGTTCGCGTGATCGAATTATTTCATGTTTTCACTTTAATTTCGAGAATAGCCGTAAATATCCTTTTTTTTTCTTAGGCAATGTAAATTAAACGCCAATTTATTTTGATACAATTCGTGACGTTTTATTTTTATGAACATGATTTTTACAGAAGATAACATTCTGTGAAGATGACAATCTTCGGTATGCTTCTGTGCGCAGATTTTAATTGCACAATTTTTTGCGACGTAGAATCACACGATTTTTTTATTGTACCAATATTTTATTGTTTGAAAATTAAAGAGAATAAATATATTACTGAGAGGTAGAGATAGAAAAATGTACTTCGACGAAGAGTTAAAGTGAACGTAATAATATTAATAGTATAAATACTTTGGACTGAAAATTAACTGACGTCCAGTTAATTTTGATTATAAACAAATTCGTAAACTTTATTCAATTCAGATGAATCTATGCACTTTAAGAGACAATTACACAGGTATAATAGAACTGATACGTAATAAAATAGAGCAGAGTGTATTTTATGAAGGAATGACTGAATCTTGACATTTAATCACGAAGGGTTATAATGTAACTATATCAGCAATTAATTAATTATAGCATCGAAAACAATCAGATTAAGATTGTTCAACTATCTTCGACTATTATAGTACGAATTTTTGAATACTATCGATTCAATATATTAATCCTATTTCCAAATTACTGATAAACATTGATAATCAAATATAAAATAGCAGGGAACATCAAGCAATCGAACTTGAATCGTCCTGAAATTGTAATACGTCGCTTCGATCGCTATCGCAAAAGCATTATATTCTGCAAAATTTTAATATCAAATTATGCGTGAAAATTCAGAAAATATACGTACTTTCGTTGGTGAGAAAGAAAATGGATGGTAGGAGCAAATAGCGTTCTCTCTCGTTATATTGCCATTTTTAATAATTGCCGTAATTGCAAAATTTTAATATTAAATTATGTGTGAAAATTCAGAAAATATACGTACTTTTGTTGGTGAGAAAGAAAATGGATAATAGGGACAAATAGAGTTCTCTCTCGTTATATTGCCATTTTTAATAATTGCCGTAATTGCAAAATTTTAATATCAAATTATGTGTGAAAGTTCAGAAAATATGCGTACTTTCGTTGGTGAGAAAGAAAATGGATGATAGGGGCAAATAGAGTTCTCTCTCGTTATATTGCCGTTTCCTTATATTACATTGAAAGTGAGAAAAATCATGTAAATTGTTATAATACGTTGTTTATTATTGTATGAAACAATTTCTTACATGTTTAAAGGTAAAATAAATAATATGCAATATAGCAAATGGTAACAGAAGAAAGATTGCTTAAGAATGTAATATCCTTATAATATTTTCTCGATACAAAACCATCACGATTATAGATGATTTGAATGATTTTCTTCTGAATTAAGGAACATGCAATATAGCAGATGGTAATATCAAAAGCTTGCATAATAATGTACTACAATATTTTCTATCATAAAAAACAATTAAAATTTCATATCAGCTTGAAGCACTAAATTGTTTTCTTAAAAGAAAACTCTCTCTTACACCAAGTATAAAAGTGGCAATATAACGAGAGTCCACGAATCCATCAATTATACAATATAATCAAAAACGTTAACCTTCAAAAATTGGTTAAAAAACAATTCTCAACTATCAAACAAAAGAAAATTTACGAAAAACGTTCCACGCGAAACTGCGTGAAATGGCTGATTTTGACCCAATTATAAAATGGCGATTGCGATGGCGATCTAAGCGACGTCGCAGTGGAGAGTGTAAAATAAAAAGTAAGATACATAGATGAAAAAGGCGCTTAGGCGACTTTTATTTCGTGTTACGCATATAGTGAAACGATTAAAACGTCGCCCCGAGGGAAATTCAAATTCCATTAACTTTAGATGATAATTAGCGATCGAATTAGCATCGTACCTTTCTCGCGCACGCTGGTGCTACTGTGCACGTTGCACGGAGAACCGTTTCTCATTCACTTACTCTCGATCGTAAACATACAAACAAAAATACAACAGTACCAAAAAAGAATTAAAAACAGATATGTAATTATTAATAAGGAGAATGAGAGATAAAAAGAAACAATCATATTGCGACGAAATACGCTTGCGGAAATTCAGTCGTCGCTCGAGAGAGAGAGAACATTCGCGCTCTGTTATCTTTTAAGCTTCGTATCTTGAAGCCGATATAGGAACTGTTGCGACCAAATACAGATTTTCGACCCATTGTTTCGCTGTTTCCGACTGCTTGATGGACCAGTTTCATTGTGACAGTTTGTGCATTGTACAAGTTTTTCTTTCTAGTTAGCGTCATACTTTCGAGCTGCGCCTTTTAATGGACGTTCTTAAAGTTCGTTCATATGTACAGGTACTGGATTACAGACACATTTACGCATTTCCAAATTTTTAAATTCACAAGTTTTAAATTGGTGATCTAAATTTCAAACTAACAAATTACTAATGTTACACATTTTTGAATTTACAGATGTATAAATTTATAAATCTTCAAATTATCAAACTGTAAATTGGAGATCAAAAACCTTTTTCAAATTTTCAACTTCCTAAATTTTTACAATTTTATATTCTCAAGTATCCTTATTTTCAGATACTCAAATCTGATCATTAACTTTCTGAATCTGTAATTCCTTGAACCATTAAATACCCGATTCTTAAATCTCCGATACTTAAACCCTCGATTTTTAAACCCTCGATTTTTAAATCCTCGATTTTTAAATCCCCGATACTTAAATCCCCAATGTCTCTAATCTTTAGATCTCTAAATCCTCGAAATCTTAACTTCACGAATCTGTAAATCCCTGAATCGTTAAATCCCTGAACCGTCAAATCCCTGATTCATAAATCCCTGATACTTAAATCCCCAATTCTTGAATCCCCAATACTTAAATCCCCAATGTCTCAAATCTTTAGATCCCTAAATCCTCGAAATTTTAACTTCACGAATCTGTAAATCCCTGAACCATTAAATCCCTGAACCGTCAAATCCCCGATACTAAATCCCCGATTCTTAAATCCCCGATACTTAAATCCCCGATTCTTAAATCCCCAATACTTAAATCCCCAATGTCCCAAACCTTTAAATCCCCAAAATTCCTGAATCCTTAAGTTCCCCAACCTCTAAATCCCTAAAACCTTAAGTCCCCATCTTTCTACATCCCCAAATCCCTAAATCACCGAATTCCCAAATCCCCAAATTCCCAAATCTCCAAATCCCTAAGTCCCCATATTTCTAAATCCCCAAATTCTCCAATGCTCAATTTCAAAAATTACGAAATCCCCAAATTCTCAAATTCTAAAATCTCCAAATTATCAAATTTCCAAAGTTCTATTCATTATACAAAAAAACTTGAACAAAAGTAACAAGTTGAACAAAGCTAAAATCTCTAACCTAATTTCCAGAAAAAATCTAGTATATATTTATTAAATACACAAAATGTTAGATGCGTCCAATATGTGTGTATATGAACGGACCTTCAATCACACAGAATGCATACGTACACACGCACACACGAAATCCGATCGCAGGCGTACGCACTAGTGGCACGACGTGCTTAGACGGTGAAGAGAGATTAAAGTAACGAAAACAAGAAAAATATATGATTAAAAGTGTAGGTAGGTGATATATTCCATGTAATATCTTCGAAGGAAGCTAATCATTCTTTATTATTAATATTGTTTCATTTTAATTTACTCTGTTAGTGACGAACTTTATAGGGAATCGTGCGGTTTGTCCCCCGTTTATTGCCGAAACGCAGACAGAATACTTACCGAAATAACTTATTCGATCCCGTAGGCCATCTGCGGGACCGAAAATAAATGATAATTATTCTGTGGAGTACACCGGAACTGTGTCGTAAACCGAGAGATGACTTACTGTGTAATAGTATTATTTTGTAAGCAGTCAATAATATTAATAATTATCGGATGTAAGCAAAATACCGTATCACCCGAAATCTAACCCCCACCCACCCCCTCTCCGAAAAAGAACAAAAAAAAAATAAGATACAATGGAAAATTCATGTATTCGTTTCGTAAGCTCGTCTCGTCTCGAGAGTACCTATACCTCTATTGTTAAATATTATACATACTGCGATACTTGCATAGAAGCTGATACGAGTATGACTTAAACAATAAGGTGTGTACATTTTAATTTTTATGAATATAATAAAAGTATAATTTAATGTTCTGCCTGTGTGTTGTTCGATCAGGATGCTCCTTTTTAATATCGTTATTATGTTGGATTAAATTTTAAATACAGTGTGAAGAAATTAGGGGCGCATTATATTGCCTCACATTATATTGCCGTGCGATTATTTTTTCGAATTGGGATTTGGAGAATTTTTAATTTTTGACATATTTAATTTGTGATTTAATACAGATAAATTTTGAGAATTTATTTTTGAATTTATATATTTTTGTTTCTGCACATTCTCAAACTTATAATTCTTCGAATTACTAAATTGCATAATGTCCTAATTTTTCAGATCATACAAGTCCCCAAATTTCCAAATATGAAAACATTCAAAATTATAAAATTTCAAAATCTTCAAATCTCCAAATTATACAATTCCCAGATTTATTAAGTTCCAAGTATCTAAATCCCTAAATTCCTAACTCCTCAATTCCATAAAAATCCCTAAATCCCCAATTCTTCAAATCTCCAAAATCTTCAAATCACCAAATTTTTAGATGTCCAAATTATCTTATTATCAGATCTCTAAATTACCAAATTCCTAAAATTCCCAAATCCCTAAATCTCAAAATTTCTATACTTCCAAATCCCTAATTCCTCAAAACCCTAGATCCCAAAAGTCCCTAAATCTCTAAATCCCCAAATCCTAAAATTCCCAAATCTTGAAATTCCCAAAATCCCCAAAACCCTAGATCCCAAAAGTCCCTAAATCTCCAAATTGCCAAATCCTGAAATTCCCAAAATCCTCAAAACCCTAGATCCCAAAAGTCCCTAAATCTTCAAATCCCCAAATCTTCAAATTCCCAAAATCCTGAAATTCCTAAATCTTCAAATTCCCAAAATCCCCAAATCCCTAGATCTCCAAATTTCCACATCCCTAAATCCCTGGATCTCCAAATTTCCACATCCCTAAAATTCCCCAAATCCCCAAATCTCCAAATCCCTAAATTTCGAAAATTCCAAAAACCCTAAACTGTCGAATCCTCACACCATCCCACAGATCCAAAGCTAAAAAATGAAAACCTCACCACAAAAAGAAAGTCGAACACCATCGAAAGCTGAAAACCCTCATCAGCGACAAAGGAAGTATTTGAAAAACACTCGATCCCTGTCGACACCGTTCAAGTATCAATCTGGCTACCGAACTTCAAACATTTGGTGACCGCAAAAAAATTATACCGAGGAATCTTCGTCGCCTAATTATACGGTCGATTATCATAAATATTAACGCAGACAGGCACACGCAATTAACATTCTGCACTTCCGGCGATCGGGAACCGCCCGATGACAAACGAAAGTGCATCCTTTGTCGAGGACAAGAGAAAGAAAGAAAAGCGAGAACGATACGTGGGCAGTGAATTATCCGTACGCGTGTGTGCGTATTGACTCACGTGCACACACGTGCGACTGCATATTGGGCGTGAGGCACGCTCGCCCAATTTAAATATAATAGGATGACTCCTGTGGGAATGTCGGTGACACCGGCAGGCAGGATTCTCAAGGTCCTTTTTGTCCCGGCTGAATCGTTCGATCTTCGAACAGAGAGCAAACACCGGCGAAGTGTTATACGCACGCGAGTGCACTCGAGATCTCTTTGCATCGTTTAACAACGATACGATGAGACAAGATGTCTGCAATTAATATGCCACTTCAACCGACCTCTCAGCCGATGTTTGCTTCGTTGAAACATGTATGTATGCCACCGAGGAGAACGCGGATGAACTTCACCTTGGTGGCGTAAATACTTGTCTGAGTGAATGCGGAATGATTTTTAATTAGTTGATGGGGGAATTGTACATTTGTGGAAATGGCAGGATTAGAAATAGGAAAAATATTGAACATGGTGAAAATAGTGCAAGTAGATGGACTTCAATAATGGGTATCATAAAAATAAAAGAAATATTAAGGACATTGAAAATGTGGAAATAATAGAAATACTTGTAATGGATATGATACAGATGATGTAGTGGAAACGAGAGAAATAGAGGTACTTCAATTATAGGTATCATAAAAATAAAAAAAATATTAAGAATATTGAAAATGTGGAAATAGTAGAAATAGGTGTAATGAACATGAAACAAATGCTCAAGTAAAGACAGTAAAAATAGAGGTACTTCATAGATACCATAAAAATAGTAGAAATAGTAGAAATATTGAACACGATGAAAATAGTTATAGAGGTACATGTAGGAATCATAAAAATAGTAAAAATGCAGCAATACTAAGAACATTGAAAACAGTCGAAAATATAATACAACAAAAATGATATAGTAAAAATAGTAAAAAGAATGGAAAAAATTTTGAAAAAATAAAAATATTAGAAATAACAAAAAATAGAAAAAAGTAATGAAATAATAAAAAGAACTGTAATATAAGAAATAGTCAGAATAATAGAAATAGTGTAAATATTAAAACTATTAAAAAATAAAGAGTCCAGACTAATAATACTAAGAGTGGTACAAATAGTATTTAACAGTAAAAATAGTGACATTAGTAGAAATATAGGTGCAGTGATATTTTGTTAGAAGCAGAGACTGAAACCGTTTCACGGAAAACGTGTCGCTTAATTGTAGGTGATATTAATTACAGGCGTTCAACAATCGCCGGTAATTACTGGTCACGTTTTTAATTGCACGAGACGAGTAGTTGCGAGTTGAAAAATTTATTTGTTAGTTAGGTTATCTACAAGCAACGAATGTATCGTTAGAGACGAGAAAATAACAGGATGAGAAATTAAACGGACTAGGATTATGTAAGTAATTTTGTTATTCACGTCAGGGCAAATAAAAAATGACTTTGTAATAAATTACGTTCGTAATTTGTTACATTTTGAATGACAACAGTTACAGAGGCAGAATAAAATTTTAGATAAAAGTATTTGCAATGGTATAGTGACAAAATTAAATATTATATAAATTAAATAAACTTGTTAAAATTAAACATTGCATGTGTACATATAAAATTCCAAAATCAAAGTTATACAAAAATAGTTAATAATATTTCAAAAATATTTACTTATGTGGTTTGAACAAGAGGAAAATTACTACCAAAATTAAACTATAAAACGAATTACACATACTCCAATAAAAATATTTATATTCCCAAATATTCCAACATCAAGGATTTACAATAAAATTTAAGAACGACAATGAAAGACTTTATAATGAAATTACTTCCATTGTCATTAAACGATTGTTTACATCGTAATAAAGAAGAATGCCACGACCTCTAAAGCGATTATGTTTTTTGAAGTATATCCTAATGTGCATAAGATTATTCACAAATGAACGATATTAAACATGGTCACATCCTTGATGAATCCAAGGACCAGTGGTAACATAATTAGCGTTCAAAATCATTTATTCATGGTTCTCGCTTTATTTAAATGCAAAAAAGTTAACGACCTATGCATTGAACTGAAAAAACATCCCTATTATGTACATTACAAAAATATTAAATGGATGAACTATAAATGGAGTTACCTTGGATACGAGTTCAGAGTAACTATAATAGGTCTGCGTTCAGATAAAACATTTCAGTGTGGAAATTTCTCAAGAATTTTTGGGATTTGAAAAACTGGGAATTTGGAAATTTAGGGATTTAGGGATTTGAGAATTTATGGTACTATGAACTTAAGGATTTGTAGATTTAGGAAGTTAAGGTTTTAAAAATTAAGTAGTTCAGCTACAAGAGTCAAATGCTAATCTATAACTTCTTCGCCAGGTGCGTCAGTGAAACTTAACAAATTATTACTGCCATTTTAATACAAATAAAAATTCAGTAATTCAGCTACAAGAGTCAAATCCTAACCTTAACTTCTTCGCCAGGTGCGTCAGTCAAACTTAACAAATTATTACTGCCATTTTAATACAAATAAAAATTAAGTAATTCAGCTACAAGAGTCAAATCCTAACCTTAACTTCTTCGCCAGGTGCGTCAGTCAAACTTAACAAATTATTA